TATATAACTTTTTTAAATATCTATTTTAAATAAATATCTTTAGATGTGTTGTAGATGAAAAACCATCAATACACACACGATTAATAGTCGTCATGTATTTGCATCAGTATACAGTTCGTTGAAGAATTTGTGATAGTATTAAAATACTCTTCTATAACAAAGGCAATAGTCTTGCATCACATAACTATGCTTGTCTCATTTTCGTTTCATTATTCAAATATCTCCGCAGGAAGGTACCAAATGGTTTTAGTCGAACAATTTTGTTGATTCCTTTATTTCTATTACAGTTCAGAGTCTAATTCTAAAAGTATCTGAGTAAATTTTAACATCCGAGTCGCGAATGCAGAAACGACCATACGAATGTAGTGAATTTCAACATACGCGAATAAACCAAATTATTAAAATTTGTAGATGCTTCTTTTTATTATCATGTCATTGATCAATTCAAGTCGAATATACTCGTGATTATCTCGTTAATATTCCACGCGGAGAAATCTCGCATTGTGCATCTACTCGAAATAACAACACGTGTTTACATTACAGTGACGAATGGTACGACCCGTTGCTGCTGGACGAGACGCTTTTCTTATGCGTGGTCTACAATGGTAGTATCATAATGGATGAGACTTAAAAAATTGACTAATCACAATCGATTATTCTTCTCATATTCAACTGCGATTGGTCAATTTGTTACTCTCACAACCTTATCCACTACAGTTACTGCCATTGTAGACCACTCATTACACATGCGCGGCGACACCAGCGACAATAGCATCTCGATTCGAAATTCTGCCTTGCTCTGCCTCGCTCTGTCCGAGTTATTTTGGCAAACATTTAATATGAAAGATTAAATACTTGAGATTAATTAAAAACAAATAATAATTCGTTAAATGCAATAACATTAAAATAATGGCTTAGTTTATATCATGCATTTGATATGAGTATTAACTAGTAACTTTCTATTGAATTATCTTAATTTCGATACATGTAAATAATATATATAATATATACCAGATGTATATTTAATTAATCATTTGGATGAATATTGTATCAATTTAGTATCATTCATCATTTCTTCATCATTTTTTTGAATAACATCGCTCTGATGTCCATTTCTATATAAGATGCGTTCGGTATTGCAAATCAAAGATGTCCGTTCTTTCGGCAATTCGCATTTTTCTGCTACATGTCATCTGCGTTCGATATTAACATTTCTAGAGGCAATCGAGCTGCTCGATTCATTCCGGATTCAAAGACCGAGCTCGTAGAATTAATGCAGATTTTCGCACCTAAATTAAATTCATAACCTGTGTATTATTTATATAATGTATCCAACTGATTCGTTAACACATACATTCATCTCTTTTAATTTTTCTATTTTACAAATAGTGTATTTGAATTGTTATAACGTCTAAAAATGCTGAAACAAATGCTATCAAATAGAAATTGAGTACATTGTATATGTACAATATTTAACAAGGAAAGTAAATTTTTAATTCTTTTTCTCTTTATGAATTTGAGATTATTTAAAAACAAAAAATTTGCTAGTTAATTTTTAGATCAAAGCTTATGTTGCACATATAGAATGAAATAAAATCAAACTGTAGTAATATATTAAAGACTCTAACGAATATATAAATCAAGTGATATAACTTATAAATTTCAAATTGCTGAAATTTATTTGCAGTGCAGTATTTTCTTTTAAGAAAATACATCTTGCGTATGAGTTTGTTACATTCATGTGTAATGATCTATTTTTAGTATAAGATTATTATCAGTTTTTAATAAAGCGAAAGATATTTTCAATTAATAGGGTATTTTTATTTATTTCATAAAAATAAACAATTTCATTTTATAATCTAATCTTAAAGGATAGTTTACAGCTCTGTATCGTTCGGAATTAATTCTTGGCACCCGGATTGCTCAAAGATCACGTGATCAAGCTCGCCATCTGCTAGCTCGCATCTCAGATTTACATTGCTGACGCATCTATAGATTAACTTTAATCTCGGTTCAATTTAGGGGCTCCTCACAATAAAAGGAACAAAAAATAAGAATTTCAACCTATCATAAATTATGTATTGTGGAATACACAGTTTCTCACAGTTTCAGATAGATTGAAATTTTCTGTTCTCTGTTCCCTTTTATTGTGCAGAATCTCTTACTCTTCGTCTTTTTCTAGTTCTAAAAATTAGAAAAAGATGAATAGTAAGGGCTACCTTCACCAAGCTCCGATTAATTTAATAGGCCTAATAACTTTGCAGAATTCCAACTGAAGCTGATGTCGGAGAAAAAATGCAAAGAGAGAAGTTATAAATATAGATTTGTAATATTAACTTATGTAGCAAGGTTTCTCTCTGATAGCTGTTTATTAATAAGCTATTTTTGTGTTCAATATAGTATGTAAAATTACAGTTAATTATAATTAGTAAAATATGTTTAACTCTTTAATTTACATTTTTTCTCCGACATCAGTTTCAGTTGGAATCTTGCAAAGTTATTAAGTCTGTTAAGTTAATCGGAGCTTGATGACCCTAAGTTGAACTGAGATTAAAGTTAATCTACATTAAGCTGGAAACACAATGAAAAGCACAGGCAATAGGAACAGAGAATAAAAGATTTCAACTTATCAGAAAGCGTCCATTCTATTATTCATAGTTTCTGATAAATTGAAATCTCTTATTCTCTGTTCCTATTGCCTGTATTTTTTATTGTGTTTTCAGCTTTAGTAGAAATGAGCATGAAACAAAAATAATTTAATAGAAAGTTACTAGTTAATCAATCAATTGTTAATCAATTGTATATCAAGTGCACGATGTAAACTAGACCAATAAGTTATATATTTTAAGCGCTTAGTAATCTTAAGCAGCCAATAACAGAATGTTCTTAGAAACGACTTTCTATTCCCTAGAAAATGAATATTTTGATTGGAGAATCATGTGAAAAATAGAATTTTCTTAGAGATTTCCTGAGCTTTCTGCACTTTTTACCTTTCTCCTTTTGTCTTTCTTTCTCACACATACGTCTATCTTATTTTAAGTGCAGAAGAGAAGACGTTATCGTGTAGTTGCAAACAACAAATCTGTATATTGAATCTTCATTTCAATGATCAATCTAGTCGGAGTGAGAAAGTAGGGATAGTTGTAGGCTTATAGGCGTGTTATCACGCATGATATTATACACGAATCAACCTATCCCACGTAGTGCATCCGTGGCCCCGTGCTCCACGTTTCTCTCTCGTGTATATCATGCACGCTTGCGTACGTATACATATACATACAAATGTCACATAACCCGCCACGGACGACGGCAGTGGCGGCACATACATGAGAGGAAACCAGAAGAAACGGCAGACATTCTGAAACCCTAAAGTATTGTCACGTCCACGGGAACAAGACTGTGTTTTTCATACGTGTGTATTACTTCGTTTTATTATAGTTATCATTTTCTTTCAATTGAGATACTCGAGATTCTCAAATACACGTAATCTCGTGGTGCGTGGAATATTGTTTTGTATCGGATCGAATCATCAGATGTTTACGCTTCCCGCAGCACGTAGGCGCACTGATGTGACTTGAGAGCAACGGGGTTTCAGCAGTGATTTGCGCTGTCACTTTTATCACGGTCTGATTAATGTTGCGATATTAATCAGAGCTGGTCGCAGTAGCAATTTTTCCTGAAATGAATCTTGAAACTGAAGGAAGAATGTTCTATCGACTGCTCTTAGCAATTTTGTTTTTCCTGCAAGTAGGCGGAAATTATTTTGGAACTAATTCTGAAAAAGATGATCAATGTTTCTGCAAGGTATTGAATATTATTCTTAATATTATTTCCTAAGATGCAAATTTTGTTTTTTCTTGTTTTTACATTTATTTGCAGTTTTAAAGATTGTATTATTATCTTTATATCACATTTATTTATTTTTCTAGTGAAATAAAAACTAATTATGTCCTTATAGAAATATCTTAATGTAATTAAAAATGGTTATATATTTATAAATACTATATTTATTATATAGATTATATTATTATGTTTATTATACAGAAAATTAATTAAAATTACAGCTGAAAGGGTCTATAGATGACTGTACATGCAATGTTGATACTGTGGATTATTTTAATAATATGAGAATATATCCGAGAATTCAAAGTCTTCTAGTCAGAGATTATTTTAGATTTTATAAAGTAAACTTAAAACAGGATTGTCCATTTTGGGCCGATGATAGCAAATGTGCTATACGTTATTGTCATGTGCTACCCTGCCAAGATGTAAGCATTTTTTATATTAAATATTATTTTAAATAAATATGACAATTCTTTTTATTGTCTATAATTTGTCGCAGGACGATATTCCTGAAGGTTTAAAGGGAGATATTCCAAGAGATATTCATCTTAATGAAAGTCCAGTAGATAAATACAGAGCCAATGCACAGATTAATGACTGCAGGCACAGTGCAAAAGATCATAATATGGAGCTTGGTTATTTGAACACAACAATTAGGTAATTAGTAGGATTTATATTATGTACAAATAAAAAAATCAAAAATAAAGCATAAATTTGATTATAGTTCAGAAAACTACAAAGAATTTGAACGATGGCAGCAGCATGATGATGCTCAAGATAATTTCTGTGTAAAAGAATCTAGTCCTGGAGAATATGTGGATCTTTTACTTAATCCTGAAAGATATACAGGATACAAAGGAACCAGTGCACATAGAATATGGCGATGTATTTACATGGAAAATTGTTTTAGGTATATGACTATGTTATATATACAAATAAACACAAATATGTTATTTGTGTTTATTTTATTGTATTGATTTTATTTGAGTCTGTATATGTCATATTATTTTTTTCATAGGCCTGAAAATTCACCTCATATTTTTATACAATCTTCTAAGATGAATGGTAAGTTCTATATTAAATCCACTCTTAAATCCATTCTTCATATAAACCTATAGAATAAGTGAATAAATCATATTTTTTCATACAATTCATAGATTTTTACTTATGCCTATTTCAATTGCAACTTAAACATATTTTTGAAATTTACATAAAATATGATTTTAATTTATTTTGAATAATAATACTAAAAAATTGAATATAATCATATTAACATAATTATAATTATAGTTAACATTAAATCAAACATTATTACATAAATTATTATTTATTCTTAAATATATACATAAATATATTGTTTCAGGAATGTGTTTAGAAAAACGAGTTTTTTACCGAGTTATATCCGGTTTACACACCAGTATCAACATACATTTATGTTCAAAATATTTGTTGGTTCCGCAAGATAGTTTACAAGTATCACCTGACAATCAATGGGGTCCTAATTTGGATGAGTTACAAAGAAGATTTTCTTCTGAAACAACAGGTGATGAAGGTCCAAACTGGCTAAAAAATCTATATTTTACATATTTACTTCAGTTGAGAGCTTTAGCTAAAGCTGCACCTTATTTGGAAAGAGAGGAATACTATACAGGTAATGAAGTAGAGGATGAAGATACAAGATTGGCCATGAACGACATACTGAATATTGTTAGGTAAGTTATTTTATAATATTTTTTACAATACATATGAAATAATTATGAATTGTTTATGCAATTTGTATTTTAGATCATTCCCAGTACATTTTAACGAATCAGTTATGTTTACCGGTGGAGCAGAGGCACAAGTATTGAAAGAAGAATTTAGACAACATTTTATAAATATTTCACGTATTATGGATTGCGTAGGATGTGACAAATGTAAGCTATGGGGTAAATTGCAAATCCATGGCCTGGGCACTGCGTTAAAAATATTATTCTCAGGAAAATTTGATAAATGGGAATCAACACTTAATAATCTTAATCGAAAGTTATTCTTTTTGGAAAGGAGTGAAATTGTCGCTTTGGTGAATGCTTTCGGAAGGTAGATACTTTATTTCTTTATTAATTTAATATAGAATTAATTTTATATAGAATTTTATAATTATTCGAATTAATTTCGAATTATTTAATTATTATATAGAAAATTATTAATTTACTTAATTTTTATAGAAAAACATTTTAATTTGTTAATAATGAATTTTTGCAGATTATCAGAAAGTATTTTTGAATTAGACAGATTTCGCAGGATGATGAGATAACGTATTATCTATTTGTAATTAAAGATTCTTCAGTACCACTACAAAACATCACGTAAACACATCACATCGCTTAGATTTTCTAAGTAACCTTTTAAGTGCTCTCCCTACTTGTAGATCGCAGATTTTAATGTATCTGACTTAATTGAGTGTGCGTTTGT